TTTCTTAATGAAGATAATTTGTAAAATAATTAAAATGCACATAAATATGCATCAATCAATCGAAGATTCTGAAAATTACCTGATAGTCTTATTAATTAATAATTTAATTCTTCTTCTATTTAAATAATATCCTAAATTTTAATCCAACCTGATAATAAAAATTCTTAACAATTTGGTTCTTGAGATATAAACTCATATAATCCTTTTTTTTCTATCAAAATATCCTCTATTCTGGTTTTTTTATTACTTTAACAAACACATTCATTATTATTATGTATTTCAACTAAATAAAAATAATCATATTCTTATAAGTATCCCTCGGATATATACTCAATGTCTCCAGGAAAATATGAAAGTAATCGGTTTTCAAAAGTATATAATGGTGAATTCTGACTTACTTTCAAATCACCTCCTATTATCAATTTATAATTATTTTCTTCAGATAAAAATTCAAATTAAATTTATTTAACAAAAATCTAAATCCATTATTTATATAATGCCATATATATTATATTTTCTTCAGGAATCTTTAAAATACCCTAAAAATACCAGGTTGATTCATAAAAAGCATCATTGATAAATATTTCTTCTTTTAAATTATTTCTATCTTGAGTTAAAAATTAAAAATATTTCTTTATTGATTAAGTCTCATAATTAATACATTCGTATTACAAAAAAAGTAATTCATTAGTAATACTATCTTAAATACTACAAAAATGAAAGCAACTACTATCAAGTATTCCAATTTCACCAATTTATTAAATATTACTTAAAGGTGTATATCTACTCCAAATTCCAAAGCTATTTTAATCATAATTTATTTAATCAATTTTTTATGGATAATTTCTTGACAGAACTTGTACTTTCCAACATTTTGCTAATTCAACAGCTAGGTATAATAAATATAAAAAAGAAGTTATTCTCATAATTCAAAATATTTAATTTAATATTATCAATAGTTAAAATATTCAGAGTCTTTAAAAACGAGTTTTTAATTAAGTTGGATTAATTAAAAATAACGAAGTTTATTTATATAAATAAAACTTCATCTTCTAGAAATACCAAAAACAACATAGGTTTGACGATTAGAAGTTTTAATCTAACCATTTAATAAGTTTTTTTTAGTTTGTGTTTTTTTATTGTCAGATTAAAATAATAATTTTGTAAACAAAATAAGGTTTTGACCATCTTATAGTTTTTATTTTGATTATTTTGGTAGCGAAAGATAAAAAGAATATTTTTTGTTTGAAAATTTTATGAAAAATTTTGATCAAAATTAATATGTATTGGTCTTCATTAAGTATTATTTTCCATTTAAACAGCTTCTTTTATGAAGAAACATATTTATGAACTATTAAAAAATAATTTAGTATATTTCGAGAAATTAGCTACATCATCATAATTTATATTTAACGATATTGATAAACTGAAAAGAAGGGAGTAAATACAATAAAATCTATAACAAAGCAAAAGGATCGTTTCAATAAAAATAAGTTACTACATTAAATTTAAATTATTGATATCGAATAAATCAAAAAATTGCTATTATTTATAAACCTTTATTTGAATCGAACCTCCCCATGTTTTTTTATAAAATCAAACTATGGACTTTTTTATATTGATTCATTTTCTTTCAATTAACTGACAATTTAATTGTAAAAATTCTATTCATAAAGATTGAAGGCTATTAAAAAAAAAAAGAAAATAAAACAAAAATATTATAAAATAGCCAATTTCATCAAAGCAATAAAGAGATTTTCTATAATTTCTAAAATATTCAAATAAACTAAATTTGTTAAATATTATTTGTTAAACTTATTTAATACTAATAAGACACATAATAAAACTAAAAACCATTAATCAAATTACCTTTAATTAAAATTTTAACAAATATCAAATATATAGATTTTCCAAAATTATAACATAAATGACATACTAAAGTGTATATGAAAGACTGTTGGATGATACTTCACCTCTTCCAAATACAAATTAGATTATTGATTTGGTCAAAATATGGGTACCTATTCGATAAATTAATTTTATTTATTTGGTGTTATTAATCAGGCCACACAATTAATGTATTCATGAATGAATTAGCTATTTGCCTTAGTTGTAAGTTTTAATTTACCAAAATCCCTTCTTGTTTTTCTTTTTTTAAAGCAAAATTAAATTTTATAGTCAAAACATTATTAGTCGACAATTATCAAATTCACTCCTTATAATAGGTCAGTTAATTACAATTACATGAGAAGTACACATTTTCACCCTTTTACCTGATTCTAAATCTGTTTTTCTTGATTTTTGTTCCTCTATTTAATAATATAATAATCAAATAAATCAGTTATTAAAAGATCCACTATACCAAATCGATAAATTTAAGATCAGAAAACAAATATTATTTATAAATTTTCAAATCCTTTAACTTTATTTAATCTTAATATTTTTAATATGGCAAGAGTAGTAGTCCTCAATATATCAACTAACATTTAATGTCTTTCTTCCAAAAATTAATAATTTTATCCCTACTTCCAAAAATAATTAAATTTTTTAGCAAATACAGTATCAAATCAGGGTGACTATTTAATTTTAGTTAGACTTTCCATAATATTTATTCATACAATTTCTGAATAATAATATTATTATTATAGTGTTAATAAGTTCAAATTGTGAAGGTTTGTTTTCTAATTCTTAATGAGATTAATTTATTAAATTATGAACTTCAGAAGTTCTACATTTCTCTTGAAAAATTCGAGAATTTTTTA